GTCTAGCTTCGCGTCGGAGATTTCTTACTTTTTCCGAATCTACGTTTTATCGTACGGACTACAACATCTGTTTGCAGACACATACAAACATATATATATATATATATATATATATATACAGGTATGCATGCATGTATGTGTGTATGCATTTCTGCATGTACGTATGCATGCGTGTATGTATGCATGCAAGTATGCATGTATGCATGCATGCATGTATGTATACATGCAAACCTGTATGTATGCATACATGTGTGTCTATCTATGTTTTGTTTACGTGTATATATGTGCATATGCATGCACATGCATACATGCATACACACATACATCCATATATGCATCAACCCATCCATCCATACATACATGCAGAGATACATACACACATGTATATGTGTATACATGTATGCACGGCCGATTACACCAACCCTGAACCAACACATGTTGCCATCTCTTGGGAGGTAGACTTTTGCTTCCGCCGGCTTCCCCCGAGCTTCCGCCGGCTTCCGCGGGCAGAGCCGCCGCCGTTTTACTTCCGCTGCCTTCCTCCGAGGAAGAGATGGCACTTCCTTCGACCCTCTGAGGCAAGGCTCTTTTTGGAACGCCACATATATTCAACTTTAGCATACCTACGAACATTCTACGGCTTTTCCCGCAGACTCGGCAAACGTGTTACTTTTGGGGTGCATCAGTTATGCAGTCGATCTCCTGTTCGACGGGTCTTGGGAAGTTGGCCCGCAGGCCCTTGCTGGTCGCCCGTGGAATCTGGGCAGGTCGCCCGCCATCTCTCGGGGACCAGCTTTTCAAGACCCCGCGCGGGCCCTCCCAGGACCTCCTCTGGGCGGCGCGCACCGCCCACACCGTGGGGGTGGGACGGTGGGGCTGAGATACCCTGGCCCAGTGGGGATGGGCATCGGCTGGACGACACTGATCCCTCCCTCCCTGCCAACCTCCCTCCCTCCTCGGAAGGCTCTGCAGCTGCAGGCCCCTTCGCCCTCCCCCCCCCCGCGCGGAAAGCGCCGCCTCCGCCTCGGGCGGCGGCCGGTGCAGGTCCGCGAATGCGAGCAGCTCCGCGCTGGCCTCCGAGAGCTCCGCCTGTCTTTTTGTTGGGGGGGCTTCGCGGCGCCCTTCGGCGGCCTCCAGCCAGCCACGAGCAAGAATCCCTGGCATCCTCGGGCCGCGAGGCGTTCGTAACATACTGTGATGGCACTTGGTGAGGAAGGGTCTGGAAGCCGGTGGAACGCTGAGTGAGGCCCAGCCATGGATATTGCCGCCGCCCCCATCAGATAAGGAATCCTCCAGGGTCTGACGTCTCCTGGTCACATTCCTTAACAAAGGGGACACCTCTGCAGGAAAGGTTTGAACCGAACTGGTAACAATGAACCGGCGGCTCCTGCAACCGAGCCGCCCAAACCGGAGCCAAAACCGGACTGGCTGAAACTGAACCGGCTGATTCGAACCAAACCGGCCGACCGACACCGGCCCGAACGGTCAACCCGAACCGGTGGAACCGAACCGGCCTGCCAAAAAGGCCTCCAGGACGGCCCAAAGAGGGCCCCAAGACGGGTTCCGTAAAGTTGCAGCGGCCGACGGCTCCAGGAGGGCTCCAAGACCGACCAAGAGGGCTCCAGGACGGCCCAAGAGGGCACGCAGAGGCTCCCCAGAGCGATCCGAGACGCCCCACGACGGATGCTACAACAGAGGGGTGCGTTGTAGCATCCGCTGGGGCCCTGTTAGGATCCCAACGAAACGGCCCAAGAGAGCTCCGCCAGGGCGCTTCCAGAGGACCCCAAGCGGCCCCCCTCCCGGAAAGCTCGGAGGCACTCCCCCGACGGAAGGCCTCGGCGAGCCGTTTTCGGGCCTCCGGACCTGGGGCCCGGACCTGGGGCCCGGACCTGAGGTCCGGACCTGAGGTCCGGACCTGGAGCCCGGACCTGAGGTCCAGACCTGAGGTCTGGACCAGGACTTCTGACCCCCTTGCCCCTCCAGGAACTGGACCCCAGACCCCTCGAGGTCTGGACCTGGCCTTCTGACCCCCTTGCCCCTCCAGCAAGTGAACCCCAGACCCCTCGCGGCTCGAGGGTGGGCCACCCGCCCCCCGGAACCCTCCAGGACCCCTCGGCCCCAAGGCCCCCTCGGCCTCGACCGTCGCCCCCAGGACCCCTCGGTCCCGGGACCCTCCGACCCCTAGAGAGCCCCAGGTATGGCGTGCACCGCCGCGATCACCCGCACCGGACCGCCCGAGACCGCACCGTCCAGAGGCAAAACCGCACCGGCTCAAGCCGAAGTGGCGCCGAACCCGAAGCGCTACAGCCGAACCGGCCCGCTGCCGAAGCGACCCGAACCGGCCCGAACGGGCCCCATGCTGCCTCTGGGGAACCACGCTTCTGTTGGTTGCCCTGCCCCCCCCTTTCGCGACCCAGGCATGGAGCTCTCACGTCGTGCTGAAGCTCCAGGAGGTGCAGGAACGCGCCGCGGCTGGCGCCGCGCAAGAGAAGCACGTGGCCCTGCGCAAGACGAGGCCTTTGGCGCGCGGCATGCCGATCGCTGCGTGCGATGCGGCGGGAGGCGACCTGCACACCCTGGGATGCCTGCCCCAGCCCCCGCGCTCCCGCCCGCGCCTCTCGGAAGCCGCGTGCAAGAGGTCACTCCGGCGAAGGGGCGCTCTTGCGTGTAGCCGACGCTGTCTCGGCGGGCTCCTTCTGTCCCATGCTCGCGCTGTTCTCCCTTCGGGGAGCCGCGAGTCTCGGGCTCTCGGGGGACGCGGGTTGGCCTGGCGAGGCCATCGCGACAGTGACGATGCCCAGTCTGAAATCTGGCGCGAGCTCCTGCTGCAAGCATGCTAACGAAAACTGGGCCGTTCAAATCCAGGGCGGGCTCGCCAAAAAGCGTCGGCGAACCCGCGTTCAGGCGTACTGGAGTCTTACCTTTCCCCGATCCTTGCCACCTGCTTACCTCAGTTCGCCACCAGTGCACCCCACCGCTTGCTGACCCGTGCTTGACTGTCTTGGACCACTTGGCGCCTACGGGCTATAAGAGTAGCCGACTTTGGCCTTCACCTGCGGCCCCGGTTCTGGCGCGAAGTGCAGCGGCGTCGTCGTCGTCGGCGTCCACCGCGATTCGAGGGTCGAGGTTCGGAGCGTTTTTCGCGTCGTCGTCGTCGTCCTCGTCGTCGTCGTCGTCGTCGTCGTCGTCGTTGACGTCGTCGTTCTCGTCGTCGTCGTCGTCGCCGTCGCCGTCGCCGTCGCCGTCGCCGTCGCCGTCGTCGTCGCCGTCGTCGTCGTCGTCGTCGTCGTCGTCGTCTTCGTCGTCGTCGTCGTCGTCGTCGTCGTCGTCGTCGTCGTCGTCGTCGTCATCCTCGTCCACGCCTCCACGGGGGCGCTTGGAGCTGCCGCGCGAGGCACCACTGCCTCCGCCCCCCCCGGCGCCGCCATAGTGGAGAGCAGGACGGCGTCTCTGGCCCAGACCGCGAGGCCCGAGGCGTGGTTGTGATGCGAGAAGCCCGAAGAATCATTCAAGAACCCCTCCCGGGGGTATCTTAGTAGAGGGCAGAAAACCCAACCCGAGAATAACCACCCCGACACGCAAGGCCTTTAGTAAACGCGCCCGAACAAGGAATCGAACAAGGCAGGGCTGTTGAGCAAACGCTCAAGGCCGTGTATTAAACGCCAATTGTCCAGTCCGGGTGACTTTTCCTCCCTTGATTTAGCGCCGCAATTTTCTTCAATATTCCACGGGGGCATCTTCGCGGAACGATATCTTCAGCACCGCGCAACTTTAAAACAAAAATGGCTTCCCGGCCACGGGCTCGGGTAGCATTCCCATTGGAATCTGGAGGCGTCCGATTTGATTTCGCTTGGATAAGAACGCTCATGATCATGCTAATCTCATAGTATACTACAGTCAACCCGTGTAACAGGGACGCACCACGAGGATTCGAGGGTCTTGGAAGGCCATGCCGACACTTTGCGAACGCGACGCAGCCCGTGAAAGCGGCCAAGGATGGGCCGACGGGAGGGAGGCAAGGGCAACCTTGGAAAACCGCTCATCCTTACTATGTGGGTGAACTGTGCAAAACTGATTTGCCCCCAGCATGACTTCTCCGTGGAGCGCGACGCCGGAAACCGCGACGCCGGACCGCCACGCCTGACTCCGCGACGCCGGGGCAGCGACGCCGGACCGCCACGCCGGACGCTGCCTCGCCGGAACCGCGACGCCGGACCGCGACGCTGGCACCCGCTTCGCGGGGACTTCGACGCCAGACCGCCACGCCGGACACCGCGTCGCCGGAGCCGAAACGCCGGCCCGCGACGTCCGACCGGCGTCGTCGTCGTCGTCGTCGTCATCGTCGTCAGTCGTCGTCTTCGTCGTCGTCCTCGTCGTCGTCGTCGTCGTCGTCGTCGTCGTCCGTCGTCGTCCATCGACGTCCGTCGTCGTCCGTGATCGTCGTCGTCGTCGTCGTCGTCGCCGTCCGTCGTCGTCCGTCGTCCGTCATCGTCGTCGTCGTGGTCGTCGTTCTTCGCCGTCGCCGTCGTCGTCATCACCGTCGTCATCCGTGGTTGCCGTCGTGGGTCGTCGTCGTCCGTCCTCGTCCGTCGTCCGTCATCGTCGTCGTCGTCGTTCTTCGCCGCGGTCGTCGTCGTCGTCGTCGTCGTCGTCGTCGTCCGTCGTCCGTCGTCCGTCATCGTCCGTTGTCGTCGTCGTCGTCGTTCTTCGCCGTCGTCGTCGTCGCCCGTCGTCGTCGCCGTCGTCATCCGTGGTCGCCGTCGTGGGTCGTCGTCGTCCGTCGTCCGTCATCGTCGTCGTCGTCGTCGTTCTTCTTCGCCGTCGTCGTCGTCGTCGTCGTCGTCGTCGTCGTCGTCGTCGTCGTCGTCGTCGTCCGTCATCGTCCGTCATCGTCCGTCGTCGTCCGTCGTCGTCGTCGTCGTCGCCGTCGTCATCCGTGGTCGCCGTCGTGGGTCGTCGTCGTCGTGCGGCGGACACGCGTGTCTATTCCGCCGCCCGGC